GCTCAACTTCAATAATACTCTCTGACTGCAGATCAATTACTCACTGTCTACACACACACATTATTCCGTCACGCCGTGACCATCTTATATATACCAGACAACCCCCCCAATCTAGTAAATGCTAGAGCACTCCCGAAGGAACGGGATAGTTCTAGAAAGCAGGTGGCGTGACACTAGTCACGTGACCTCGCTGACGCAACAATATTTTAGGTCCAATATTGAAAATTCAAATGTGAAAACAATGTTGGATTGGCTTATGCTAAAATATGAAGCATACTAGCTTATATTAGACAAGAAATTTTAGCATAACCAGCTAATACTTTTAATATTAAACAATTTTAATACTCAAAATAAACAATGCATTTCATATTTTATATCACATATACGTAATTTCGTAGAATTTGTAAAAAAACTAAAAATTTTTTCATGAATGATACTTTTCAAAATTTTCTTGTGCAAAATGTATAAGAGTAAAAACAAACAAACAAAAAACAGTTTTATTAAGTTCGAAACACATAGCCAAATTTCACGTTTAGTTACCTTTGGCTTTAAAAGATGGCAGCTCTGTCGATTATTGAAATAACATTATCACAAGAAACGTAAAACAATAAATTAACAAACTGATTAATTAAGGCCGCGTTGTAACACTTTTCTAATTGGAATAATATTTAGTCACAATCTATTTCATAGACTTTAAGATAAAAAAAAGTTGTCAGCTAAATAAATTTTTACTTGAATTCTTTTCACTTAACTATCTGATTCAGTACAGAAATTGGCGTTTAGCTATATAATCCAATAAATAGTTGTTATTTGTCAGTTAGTTAAGCACAAACTGAACAATGGGCTATCTGTGCTTTGCCCAATATTGATATCAAAACCTGGTTTCTAGCATTGTAAATCCGTAGACATACCACTGTATTCTTTGTGATTTAATATTTTTTACATGTATTTAACTTCGATTCTCTAAAACAGTTTTATGGAGGATAAATGAAATGAACAAGACTGATATAAAAAGTACAAACGATTGAAACTGTTGAGCTCAGTATACAATTTCTTAGAAATATGTTCAACCTTCAGAATCGTTTGTTGACAAATCTACGAGTTTGTTCTAAATATTTACAGTATAATCTGTTGAGTACCAGTTGCATCTTTTTTCTTTCTACCCGTGAGAACGTTTCCAAGCTTATAATCTGTTAAGGTAAGTACGAATACTCCACTATTACATTATAGCGTTCGAAAAACAATATTTACACGTGCAGATGGTAAGTGATAAATACATTTTTAAATAATAACTTTTTAATTTAAACATATCTGCATCTTTAATAAAAAGTACAAGTTTCCTCAAATAAATTCAACTAAAATATTTATTTAGACGTGTTGTCCAAAAGAAATAGTAACATGTAACATATATTTGTATATAACTTTTTCATAGTTATACTTTAACACGATTTGTCTGTATTCTGTTTGTCCGTGACGAAAAATTTTGCAACTGAACGATCTCTGATTTTCATAAAGAGCGCTATTAGGGGTTCTTGGGTATGTCCCAGAGGGATTCTGAAACTCTCTTACTTTATTTATTTTCTAATTTTTATGAGTTTGCCAACCATTTTAACTCCATCTCCCTTTGCTACTGTGTTGGTGCAAGCGAATGACATACGCACTAATGCCGTCCCGTCACTCACGCGAACTAGGAACAAAATAGATGCTGCTCCTGGCGCGGTAACCTTTGTTAGTTTCTATAGTGTCGAATATTCTACAGTCAGCCTGACACAAATTAAATAAAATTATTATTTGATACCAAAAATAGATCTTGTTTTTGACGTATAAATGTGCTGCCTTTCAGTTATAGAACTTAAATGTGATTTTTGTTGTGTTTACTAACTGAAAGGCCTGGCATGGCCTGGTGGTTAGGGCGCTCGACTCGCAAACCCAACGCCGAATATACTCGCTTTTCTTAGCCGTAAAGGCATTATAATGCATCAGGTAATCCCACTATTCTTTGGTAAAGATTAACCTACGAATTGGTGGTGGGTGCTGTCGGCCGGTTGCCTTCTCTTCGGTCAGTAGTTCAAAGGTAGGGGACAGTGGCAGATAATCCTAGTTGTTCTGCCATAAAAAAACAAACAAACAATAACTGAAAATTCCTTGTTAAAGGTACAACAAGGTAAAGAACGACAGGCTAAGACTGAGGATCATAGTACAATCATGTGAAACCTATGGCATTTGTACAAACAGTTGCAAGTGCAGAAAGATGTGCTGTACCATTGTTATCAGAGTGGAAAATGGGTGTAACTTTGTATGTGCTAGCAGCACAGAATCCTCTTCACTTTACCTGTTCTGACGAGAAGGTCCATTAATTAACTTAATGGTGCAAACATCTTTGACTTCTATCTTTTATGAATTCTAGATTTGAGTACGCAATCATCTACTAGACGATCTATAGGAAGGATTTGACTTCTTGGAGATGATCATTTTTAGTTCGGTTGTAGTCGATCTTGCGAGAGAGGATGATTAAGAACTAAACGCAGTCTGATAGAGGAAGGACTGTCCGCTTGTCCGTGTAGGTACGAGCACCGTGTTTCTGCTTTCTATTTTATTTCAGTAACAATGATTTTGTGGATTCTTAACAAGTTATTCGGACTCATTAATTTCACATCTAAAAAAGGAAAATCCAGTTAAATTAGTTCTGTCAGAAACTCTTAAATTCTTTGGCGAAACTGTTGTTATGTGTGGGATATTCTATCAAACACTTGTCGGGAAATCAGGTTAAAATACCACACCAATAATGTGACTGAATAAATTAATATTAGCTAAGTGATTGATAAAACATTCACCACATCAAAACAGTGTTATTTTTCTAGTAGTAACATTAGTATAGAATTTTAAGGTGTATTTACATAAATATGAATTAAAGTTCAAAAGAGGTAATTAGTTGGAATACTGTGTACAGTTTTGATCTTCTATTTAAGAAAGTTTATTAAATCTCATTCAAGTTTACAAGATTATTTGGGGGATCGATGGGACAAAGGCATCTGTTTGTAATTAAGCACAAAGCTAACAACGGACTATCTATGCTCTGCTCACTACGGGTATCGAAACCCAGTTTCTATTGCTGTAAGTCCACAGACATACCACTGCGCCACTGGGCGGCAAAGGAATCTAATTTCTTTGTGTCATATTCTGAAGGTAATAGGACAAGAGGAAACAAGTTAAAGATTTGGAAAAGTCTAGGCTCCAGTTAAGACAGTTTTATTTTTCTAACATGGTGACTGAATTATTGAATGAGTTTCTGTTGGCAGCGAATGAGGACAGCATTTTTCAGGAGTTTAAGAGGCCGATTTATGCTTTCTTGAAAAATAAAGAGTAAAATTAAATATTTACTTTTCTCATAGGTGGTTGTGCAAAGGCAGCTTTGAATGACTACATGGTTCCTTGTTATTCGTAAATTTTTACATTTGTGCAAGCACATAGTAAAACTATGTGTATTTTGAATTTTTGTACATAATGTTTCTTGTCGCATTTTGTTTCCTCAGTTCAAGTACCTGGGTCATCCACACATACCTTTCTAGATACGATCGTCTGATACTTGTCGGTGAATGATGTAACCTAGAGACTCGTTCTTTAGCTGATAGTACAAGCTTATCACTAATTTATAAAATGTCTCATCTGAACGACTGATCACTAACTAAGTGCTCGTGAACAACAACCGTGTAGCTGATAGAGCACCAATCCCCTATCAGAAAAAAAAAGAGAAAATAATATAAACAATAAACACTATCAATATCTTGTTTGTTTAAGACTTACTTATTCAATCAAAGTATTACCTATTTACAACACAAATATATAAATACAACAGATAAAATAGCAAACATCGGCAATATATATTTCATTTATCAATGCGGACCTTTAGAAGCACCAGGATACAGGTCAGCAGAAAAAATTGTATTGGAAACAGTGCGATATCACACTTTTATCTGTGGGTGCATTACAAAAGTGACAGCCAATTCCTTAGCGTAAAAAATGGGTGGTAGAGTCTGTCTTCCTTCTGGTTAAGTATTTCAAAATTAGGTATTGCGGCAGATAACCTTAGCAGGTTTGTCATAAATACAAATACTTTCTTGATTGTTCGTTAAAACTACGCTACCCTATCTATTAAATAATAATAATTATTAATTATAACATTAAAATTTTGCTATTCAGCCTTCAAACTCATTTTTAGACACAAAGTAGATAAAACAGTGTAAGTATATAAAAAATTACCTCTTGTGAAATAGGCTGTTGAAAGTACTCACATGACGTCTTTTACGTGGCATGTTTCATCAGTTAAATTTTGATGTATTCAAACGCTAAAATAAATAGATCACCAAACTAGATGTAGTCTTGAAATTATTTGACAATAAAATTTGGTTTAATAATACCAGTTTATGCAAACCAATTTGTAATGTATGAAACAGTTTTCCTGTAAGCTTGGAGTTAAAAAAAGGAAAAATAGCGCTGCGTAGGGATACCATTTAATGTGACAAACTATAAGTTATAAGATACGCCTTCGTCTTTATTTGTAATAATATAAGAAGGGCGTGTGAAAGTGGTAGTAAGCGATTGATAATTAATTTGAAATAACAGGAATAAACATTTAAGGTATAATCGATACGTGTGAGAAGAGTAGGTTACTTATTGTTGGGGTGCTGCAATTATAACTACTAAACTATTTCAAACAGTCATAGAAGAAATAAGTTAAAGTTTAATAGTTATTTTTACTTCAAATTTTTACTGCGAACGCCATCGTATTACCCACAAAATTGACAAAATGGTGCAAGGTGGGATGTCAGTCGTGAAGTATCTATTATTCGCCTTCAATTTTATATTTGTGGTAAGTTTATAATTTACTGTTTTTAAATATTACTTCTCTGAACTTAAGTTAAACTTGACATGTATTACAATTTGTACTGTTAGTGTTAACCAGTGTGTTTGTGTTTACGACTACGTATATATATTAAAATTTACATTGCTAAATCATCAGTAAATATTAGCGTTTTATTTGGTCGTTTATCGAGCTAGTGTTTAGGCAAATAATAAAATTGAAATACTTTTATAACTTCTAACTTTACTATGTCGTACATAAACTATAATACTAATTACTATACCACACGTCTGCAACAGTACAACTCAGCACATGAGACTCTTATTTGAGACAAGTTCTAGTTCTAAGGTGTAGAACTAAAGAAATTAGTAATAAAAAAAAAAAAAAAGAAAAAAGAAAAAGTTATTACCTTAGTGCTAAAGACTAATGAGAACTAAAATAATTTGAAATCTTTATAACCATTCTCTAACATACTACAACTTTTTTGATATTTTGGCATTAATAATAATAGTACTTAAATGCAGTTTTACAAAACATTTTTACAGTAGTGATACAGAACTTTAAGATTTGTTTTAGGATTAATCTGCTTTTATCATAAAAGGTGTTGAGTCAAATCGCCTTGGATGATTGTTGAGTAAATTTAAAACAAGTACGAATTAGAAATGTCTGCACTGGGTTCAATTCCTAATGCTTAGTAATGGGGATACCGAGTGTTCTCTGTTCAGTGAAGTGTCCTGTGAAGTTCAATATTATGAAAATCTTACACAGTTTAATCACATTAAAACAATTGTGACTGTTTTTTCTTAATATTTCTATTAACCTCAAACTAGCTTGCAAGTTTCATCTTGAGATACCAGTGAAAAGTAACTGTCAGCACAGTAGCTGCCACCTCTCTGCTTTGGAGCCTCATGTAGTTGCATAGGTAGCATGTGTGTAGTGTTACAACTGGAAATACCCAAGAATTTAATGCCATCAGGAAACTGTTAGTTTACTAATTATGCTCCTATCAATGTGATTATATAAGCAAAGAAGTGCAAATGCTCAGGCTTCAACCCCATGAGGTACTCTACTAGTAACAAGGGTTTAGTTTACTTAATTCCATTGTTAACAAACCGTTTGCTCCCAACCAACAACATTACAAGCCAACTAACTATTATTTTTTCAACTGGTACCGATATGCTTTTCTGTTAATATTTAATGTTCTACATTAACAAAAACGTTTTGGAAATCTAAAACCTTTCCTTCATCTTTGTAACGATTAACAGCCTTGAGAAAAAGGTAACAGCAGGAAGGGAAGATTTCTCTTTGTTGAATCCATCTTAGCTTTCATTTATGTGTTTCACAACATGGTTTTGTAAAGCTTTCTTTGTCAAACTAGACATTTCCCCACTACAAATGTAAAACTTCTTATAATATCCAGGGCAAATCCCTTTAAAAATAGAAGTTACATTAGCATCTCTCCAATCCACAGACACCTAATCAAACACTGCTTTTCTACCAGAATTGAAAGAAAGACTTTTGCATAATTATCTCTGTCCTCCTTTAAAACTATAGGGGAAAATCTTGTCTGGTTCTGGTACTTTGTTTATTTGCAATTTGTGCCATCAAGGGATTAATGTCTACATGATTCAGTTCAATTCCAATATTTCCTATCAAATGGTCTGGAATATTGCTGGTATTTAGTAAAAATGGAAGAGAATAAAATGTTTATCATCTTTACTGTTTCAATACTCAAACTGTTATATTGCCATCAGCAATTCCCATTCTAAAATTTTACTTGCCTTTTAATATGCATAAAAATTCCCAATGTTAGTTTTTGACATTACCAGCCAGTTGCTTCTCATAAGCCCCTTCTTAATTTATTTTTTAACCAAATCCCCTAGCAGTGCTGAGCAAGTAATTGACATAATTGACTACTACAAGCATTGATTATATAATTAGTGTCATGAAATAATCAGTTAATTGAAATTAATGTTTAAAATTATTACTATTTTCAATCATTCAAACTATCTAACTCTCTTAAGAATAATTTATTATTTGAATCTAAATTGTTGATGAGTAGTCAACTTATCAAATTTCACTAATTATTCTGATTTAACCATGTGTCTTCCTGTAGTTATAAAAATTAACTTTAAAATTCCTATTATCAGCATTTTCTAAATATAGCAGTTTCAGTAATCCAGTGATATCAGTCCTCCATTTCAGCTCTATTCCTCAAATCATCTACTTTGCTCCTTACATTATAGTAATAGTAACTTAAGCATATTCTTGATCCTACTATGTTTATCCTTAAATCTTTCTTACCTTTTATATAAAATATCTTTAAAACTTCCTTAAACATCCTACTACCTAAGTTGCTGGCTCCTCAGTGGCTCAGCAGTAAGTCTGAAGTCTTATGTTAAAAACCAGGTTTTGATACATATTGTGGGCATAGCACAGATAGCCCATTGGGGAGCTTTGTGCTTAACAAACAACCTGCTTAAACCTTTTATATAAAATATCTTAACTTCATTAAACATCCTACTACCTAAGTTGCTGGCTCCTCAGTGGCTCAGCAGTAAGTCTGAAGTCTTATGTTAAAAACCAGGTTTTGATACATATTGTGGGCATAGCACAAATAGCCCATTGAGGAGCTTTGTGCTTAACAAACAACCTGCTTAAGTGAAGCTCGCCTAAAGAATGACTCCCTGAAAACTATTCCACAGGTGCAAACAGCCCACTTGTTGCTCTAAGCAACTCCCTGATAATCTTTCATGTGAGCTTAGAACAGTTAATTCTCAGAAGTACTTCTGAAAAATTTAATTTTATTATTGATTTTCTTAATTACTACAATTATCTCATTTTCATGACCAAGTCTAGTTTAAGTCTAGGGAAGTTGTGGGTATTTTAAATTTTGGATTTGGGTACCATCTTTTCTGATTAAGATTTTTCACTGTTAGTTTCTCCATTAACTGAGGTGATTAACAATGAATTCATTGTTACCAACATACTTTAAGCTAGTCATTCCATGGGGCACAACATACTCTTAGATGCCACAAAAGCTTCATTGTTTGTATACATGTACTTGGATGCTGATTTTTGTGTGTGTTGTATTAAGGAAATTACAGATACAAGTGTTTTTGTTGATTTTTATTATGAATTACATGTGCATCTAAGAAAATTTTAACTTTGAAGTTTTACTTTTTTGTATTTCTAAGTTGTTTTCTTGCCCTTTAATATATAAAATCCAAAAATACATGAAGCTAATTAAAATGTTACCAAGGGTAGAAAGCTTTAGAAGTGGATATGAGTTATGCTTGGTGGTAAAGCAGAGAGTGATGATGATGATTGGGCAATTTTTGAAAGGGAGCTAGGGCTCAACCTGAAAATGGTGGTGGGTTGGTGCTCTTAAGGGTCTGTTTTATTATCTGTGTAACATATCAAATAATGTTTACTATCAAGGTATGAAAAACTGATTTACTGAGCACAACATAAGTTTTACAAGATATTAAATATACATTAACAAAAGAGTGCCTGGCCAGTACTTTGTAAATCAATAAACAACTCAATCTTCAAGTACAAACACCATTATCCAAAAAAAGAGCAAGGTTGTTAATATCAAAATTAAAAAAAAATAAATATAACTATAGTAATGATTTGGGAATAAAAAACCAGAAGGAAAAAAACACCTAATTTGTAAGATTATTCACAGTAACAATATTACACTTCTGAAAGAAATAATGTTAGATCTCAAATATGAGACTGAGTACTTGCATTATATTTTAACAAATTAAATACATTACATATCAGTTTCACACATCTCTATCCTAACAGCTCTTTATAACTTCAAGTTTTAAGGATTTTTATTGTCTAGGCAGACAATGGGATTTACATCTTTTTTTTTTCTATTTTTTGTGGATAGTTATATTTTGGTTTGTGGGTTATCTTCAGATGTGGTGGATGCAATATGTTTAAGGGAGGGCTTCATATGTATTCGAATAAGTGCTGGCTTTGAATTTGTGTTTATGCATTATGTATATATTTTAGTTAATTTGGTGAATGGGAAATCTTAGTTGGACCAGTAGGACCCTTGTTTGTACATCACAAGTCTAAATTAATGATTTAACTTTTGTTTTAAGTAATTAATCATGAGCTTAGTATCCATATCATCATGTTACAGCAAGGGGAATTTCTCCTCATATTGTGTCTTAATATAAAAAAATCTCTCATTTAATGTTTAATATACACTAGGTGGCAGGTGAGGCAATGTTTAGGCAAATAAAAAAAATATACCTGAACAGTACAAAAATACAAACAAAATAAACATGAATGATGAACTCCATAACTAAAAATAAAATGGAAATTTCTACTACATATGTTATTTATAATACTAAAATGTGAGGTGAAGCTGATTCTGTTGAGGATTCTTCTGCTATTGTAAAGGATCTTGTCAGTCCTAGTGAATGAATTAGTATGTTTAAGATAAGACTTCATATTATGAATTGTAAAGTTACAAAACTTTAATAATTTCATATTAATTCTAGACGTAAACAAATTGATAATGTAGATTAGTGTCACAAAAATAACTATTGTTTCCAATTATTACTATTTTGAATTATTCCAATTATGAAGTAATCAAAATATTCCCACAATGACTTTTCATTATTATTTTAGATTACTTCAAGTTTTTTGATCTTAATTAGTGTTGCAACACCCAAAAGTAATGAACTGATTATTACTGTTTTTGTTTATTCTGACTATCCAAGTAATCGCCATGGTACTTGTGGTTAAGCAAAAGCTATGCAATGAGCTGTCTGTGCTCTGCCGACCATAGGTATCAAAACCAGATTTGTAGTGGTACAAAATTAATTTGCCAATATCACTAATTACTCTGCTCAAATTGATTCATATACACCTTCAATACAAACATCTAAATACTTGCAAGTGAATTTTCATTTAGATAAAGTGTGGATATGCTTATAATATCTTGTTAGATTTAAGCCATGCATTTGAGTAGTATACCATTAGTT